CCCTGGGCAACCCATTCCAGTGCCTCGCCACCCTAACAGTAAAGAACTTCCTCATTATATCCAATCTAAACTTCCCCTGTTTAATTTTTAACCTGTTACCCCTTGTCTTGTTACTACAGTCCCTAATGAAGAGTCCCTCCCCAGCATCCCTATAAGCACCCCTTCATATACTGGAAGGTGCTATGAAGTCTCCACGCAACCTTCTCCAGTTTTCGAACTAACTAGTGAAATTTACTTTCTTAAAATAACTTCTCTATGACTTTTTTTTCACAGGCATGTGGTTTGTAACAGAAATCTCTGAAATTTCAGTAGTGAGGTCTGACATGCAATGCTTATCTTTATGAGGGATTCAGATGTTGAAAACTCATTACATTGTGCAGGGGTCATGAACAGATGCCTTTTTAGAAAATATCTTGCTTTTATTTCACTATTTACAGTGTTGGCTTAGATTTTGAAATATAATATTCTAGTCTGTTTGGTGTGGACTTTTCTTGGCATTGTGTATTCCATTTGCAGGGGGAACATTCCCCTGTGAATTCCCCTTCCCATTCCATTGTGAAGGGGACAGAGGGTGATAGAGCAGTGAAAGGTATTTTTCAGATAGAGGAACTAGGCAAGAAATAGGCAAGATGATTTGTGCTGAGCTGGGGCAGGGAAAGAATACTGCATAGCTTTCTTCTCTACTCTGTCATGAGAGTTCCTGAACAGATTGATCTGTAGAAACACCTGAGTCTAGTTGCTTGACGATGATGAAGAAACCAATGAATTCTCCAATAGAAATTTCTGCTGAGCAAATAGCATGAGATTGCCTTAGCTATTGCAATATTGCACAAATAATTGCACATGAAAGTACATTATTTATACAGACTTTGATACTTCAGAATAATAGCAGGTAATACATTAATTTATGCTATTTTTTAGATATTCTCCCAAACATTTGAGGGCTTCAGTCATGATTCGTTGCTTGTGGTTTTGACTTGCTAGAACAATTACATGCAATCAGGTTCTTCAGCATTAATATGATGTATGTTCCCTTTTCAAAGTTAAGACTCTAAAGCTAGTCACTGTGAAATGGTATATAAAATTATGAATTCAAAAGTGTTAGGATTTGTGAGGTTAGAAATTACTAATCTGCTATTTGCCCCTAAAAATACCATAGAGAACTGAAATTGGTTTTTATATAGTATGCCTATAAGCAGGTGGCATGAATACCTTTTATGTTATACTACATAACATATGTATTTGCTTTTCAAGTATGAATAATGTCAAAAATTGTAATTTAAAGCAAAATTGGCCAGGCAGTATATAATTTAGATGGGTGTGGGTTTTTTTCGGTTGTTTTTACTTAACCATGTTTGTTCTTTTTTTTTTTTTTTTTAAAGTCTTAATAAGAGACATTAAGGATTTACTGTCTCATCACTGGTGGTGTTGTGTTGCACTCTTACTGTGAGAAGCTGGAGTGCATACTTTATATATAGTTGAATGTGGAATTTGAAGTCAATAGAGATAATGTAAGTCACCTACAGAAAAGTTTTTTAAGACTATCAATATCTCAGAAGTTTCAAAGATAAAGCATTTTAATAAAAAGTAAAAAAAAAGGGTATAATACATACATTTTAAATTATTATGAACGCATTTTACCCTGAGGTTGTATATAAACTGTTTCAACCTCTTGCTATTAGTCAATGTTTTACACATTTGTCTATGTTCTTGTTTGACAAAAAAAGCCTGAAATCAATAGGCCAGATTTGCTAGGGAACATGTTGCTGTTTACTTTAAAAAATCAAGCGGTTTTTTTCTACCTTTATTTGGGCTTTCCGAAAGTTACTTTTCACACTTCACAATTGCGGTTTTGGAGCTAGATCTCTGAAAAACAGAATAACCCCATAACCCTTGTCTGAATACCTGCATCTGTTTAAAGTCTCTCTAAAATCTGCAGGTCTCACTAGTTTGCGGGACCAGACATCCCAGCTGCCTACTGACACAGCTGCCAGGTTGCTATGTAGTCAGCATTGTTTGTCTTTTAATAGTGACGTCAGTTTGTCGGTTGTTGTACCAAACAGATAACTCGTGCACTTGCTCTCCTTGAGTGAGCTGGTTCTGTTCCAGCAGTAGTTGATGATGGGTTTTGTGTCAAGCATAATGTGAAGTCATGATGAGCCACATAAAAGTTCACTGAAAACTCAGAAACTTTATTTAGATATTACATTTCCTCTGGCTTTTTGCTTGTTGTGTTTTATTTTTCCAGTTGCATCATAGTAAATACATTACTCTTCTCTTTTGTATGAATTATGCAAATTAATGTTAAACTGCAGAGATTTGTGGCACTTGAAGGGTCAGGTACTCTGTCTAATGCTAGAAGCCCGAAGCATTCTTGGAAGTCCTGGTTTACAAAAGCTTGTATTTCATACTGTGTGACTGTGAATATTGACATAATAAATTTCTGATTTTTTTTAATAATAACAAAAAAATCGTAATTGCTGGCAGCAAAATATTAAAATAGGAGAAATCTCGATAGAAACAGTACCCTGACATGGCCTTTACCATTCCTCTTCATTCTCTCCAACTTGGGTTGGAGGATAATAATCCCTTGCATGTTGTAAAAATGGACTGTTCTCTGTTTAGGAAACTTTATGGTTTATACATCCTTATCAATTTTAGTTGCTTACCATCAGTGAGAATGTGGAATTAATTTTCTAAAGCTCTGGGTGGCCATGCTTCCAGCACAGTTGTCTTCTGTTCTCATGGGAGCTGTCATTTTTCACTCTTCTGGTCAGGATGGGATTTTCCTGAGCCAAAAACCTGCAATACCTGGTATTTACTCCTTGTGCTCTGAGCCTATACTAGCACTAGCTTGCCTGGTTTGTGGCTTTGTGTTCTAGCTCTTTGTGCTCCACTTTTAATTCCAAAGTTTTAATTTACCTTGTGGTTTGTGCCACACAGTTAGGATTCAAGACTAATCCTTCTAACATGTCGAAGCACTTCCCTGTAGTAGTGGCCAGGCTGCCTGATCTGAATCACCAAACTAAACTATTTCTGACTGTTTCCACTGCCTCTTACTACCTTTCCCCAACAGATTGGAGTTCAAGGCTGCCCCTTGGGTCAGATGTATGTGGTCTGGGCTTAATACTGGAAAAAGCCCATACTAGGAGCTTTAACCTTGTTTTTGAGACTTGAGTAGAAATAGTCGTATTCCAGTTACATCTGTGTTGTTAGTGAACATTTTAATAGGTGCTTCTATTTAATTATGACTAATGGTTAGAATTAATGTCATTCTGGGTGTTATAGCTTAAGACCTACTTTAAAAATACCTTAGTGTTTTGAAGAGAATGTATTGAGCCTGTAATGTATGTGAAGTTTGTTATTGCCTCTTTAGAACTGAGGTAGTTTCTGGTGTCTGAAAGCAAGTTTGATAGGTTTTTCTTAAGCTAAAGCCATTATTGAAATGAAGGTTATCTTTGCTGTAAACCCACTATCTCCATTTACAGTCTTTAAAAACAACATAGAACTTTCATTAAGATGAAAGTCTGTTAACTAGAGACCAGATCAGGCTGTAATCTATAAATTTTTTTTATCGTTCTAGGTATGACTTGCTTGACAGGAAAAGGAACAAATTCAAGTAGCCAGTATTTCTTCAGTGGTATAATTAATAATGAAAGGTTATGTTTTATCTAAATCTCAGTATTCACAAAATAATGCACATAAACCTTTTCATTTCTAAAAAAACCCTGCAGATTTTATATACAGACTATTAATGTTGATGATAACTGGGTGAACATGCATGGGACTAAAGTCGGGCCAGCATCACTGGTTACGCTGTGGGCAGACCAAAGAGTCTGAGAGCTGTGCTTTATACAGCTACCTACGAGAGCCATAACTCTCATCCAAGGTAGTTGAAAATTATGGGACTCTGTAAAACACATCTGTTTTCAATCGTACTTAATGTCTTGTTTCGTCAAAAATGACTTACTGCTATGGCCTTTAAAATAACTTCTGAAAACTGATTGTAAGGCAGTATGTCTCTCACTAGAACAGTTAGAAGAAATTGGATGAGCTAAAGTCTTTTTCAGTTACAGCAGTAGTTGTATTAACCCTATGTTTTCAATGAACTTACACCAAGGCATATGTGGAAAGAATGGTTTAGTATTTAGGGATATTAGCCTAGGATTTGGCAGACCTCAAGGCAAGTCCCAGCTCTGCTATCCATTATGTGACATTAAGTTTCACACCTCTGTTGTTTTTAATCCCTTTCTATGAAATGAAAATAGCAGTTTGCTGGCAATGGGCTGTTTGGGACAAGAGAGCACAAAAGCAGGTACTTCTTGGATTAGTGAAGGTAGGGATCCTGCCTGAAAGAATTTCATACAATCATAGGTTTGGGTTGGAAGGGACTTTAAAGATCATCTAGGTCCACCCCCCTGCCGCAGCAGGCAACCTCTAGACCAGGTTGCTCAAAGCCTGGCCTTGAACAGTGCCAGGAATAGGGCAGCCACAGCTTCTCTGGGCATCTCTTTCAAAACGAAATACCGCCCGAAATTCATTGTAACTATGGACTGCTGGTTTTAATGTCTTGTGTATTCAGACACATCACTTTTGGAACACGTGTCCCAGGGCTGCAGCAGCAGCAACTGCATGGGGGAAAATCAGAGTAGTTGTAGGACATGCATTCTCTCTATCTGCCTGGCTGCCTACCCACCCAGTGAAATCCTGGCAAGGTTCACTGAGGCTTCCCAGGCATAAGGCTCATTTAAACCCCTCGTTTTGAGCCCTTGTCCACAACCGGTCCCTCCTGCCCCCTTGGGCTGAGCGGAGCCGGGCCGGGGGTCAGGGACCCCGGCGAGAGGAGGTGGTGACGCCCCGCACCGCCCCGGCGGCCTGAGCACGCTGCCAATAGGCGGCCGGGGAGAGCCCTGCCCCTGGGGTGTGTGCGGCAGCAGCCAATCGGCGCGCCAGCCGCAGGGGGTTTATACCGGCGGGGGCGCCGGGCCGCCTGCTGGGAGGCGGCGGCAGCAGAAGCGGGAGAAGCATCATGGAGAGCGGACGGCAAGTGGTGAACTTCGGGGCCGGGCCGGCCAAACTGCCGCGCTCCGTGAGTAGGGGCCGGGCCCTTTCCGCACTGCGGGGCGCGGTGGTGGGCGTCCGGTCGGACGTGTCCTGCCGGAGCTACGCGCTGAATGGGCTCTCGCCGGGGTGAGGCGGCGGGACAGCGGCCGGTACCTACCGGCCGCCCCAACCCGGCTCCCCGGGGCTTCCACTGGCGCCGGGTGCACAGAGAGGGCTGGGGAGGCTCCAGTGAGTCGTGATAAAACAATTACCTGAATTGCGGCGAAACTTAGTTTCTTCTCTCCCTCCCTACCCAATGGAATGCCTTGTTAGTGGGGTTTTTGGAAACTTTCCGTAATGTGGGTTTAGGATTGCTCGCCCCGAGCTGCTTTTCTGAATCTGATCGTATGAAGGGCTATATCAGCTCCTGGATGAGGAGTAAACCCTCGGATGTGCGAGGGTAGCTATGTTGAGTGCGTTACTTGTCAGCTGGTAAACAACATGGTAATTCCCCGAGAAGTCTTTGTTTAACAAATGTTAATGAGTGCAGTGTAGGCTCAACCCTCGGGAAAGTTGCATCAGCAGCTATGGATTATCATCCATCAGTCACATATGGAGAGAGGGTGGCTTCTGTGAAATTGTGTGCATCTGACTTTCAATTTAAGAGTTACGGATTGTGGAGATCTTTCCTTGTTTCCTTAATTTCCTTCACAGTTTCCTTCCTTATTTTATGTGTTCTTTTTTTAACAATTTTATTTAGGTGAAAAAAATGTGCTGTGCCGCAGCACTTCTTTTTTTATTATTTTTTAATTTTGTTTGGTTTTGTGCTCTATTCTCATTCTCCTGGGAATGATCTTTGTAGGTTATGCTGAAAAGATACCTGTTGTTCTGTCTTGAGATTTTGGTTCAAAAGAGCTCTTTGAAGAACTGCCGCAGAGTGCTCAAAGCTGGGCTCAGGGTTGGAGGAGACCACAGCTAACTCCCTAGCATTAATCTGCTCCCTAGTATTAATCTGGTTTTCCGTCTGGAAAATTCAGTAACCTTACATGGACTCCTGTGTCACCTCGATTGTTTCACTTTGATCTGGGCTGAAGTGCTCGAGCTCACTGAAAAAGGTGGACAGAGCTCTTTGTGGCTATTATAAGGCATATCATAAACGTCTTTTGCAACACGTGCCAAAGAATATTACTAACAGAATTGGGTTTTATCAAGCAGTTCAACAAGCACTTTCTTCTAATAATCTGTGTGCCCCCTTTGACTTTTTTTTCCCTCCTCTGACATGAATGCAGTTGCATGTGAAACATGGTGGTTAAAACTTCACAATCTCTTAACATCGAAAGCAGTGTAGTTGTTTCTGGTTGACCTCTTGGTGATCAGCTGGATGCAGATACCCGGTCAGCAGGGTAGACCTCTTGTTCCTGAAACTGGAGCACTTCTGTGGCTTTTTGGTAGACCCTGAGGTGCATGCACACAGTGCTTGTTTTGGCGGCTTTTCTACTGGGGCTCCCTCTTCTACTGCTGAGAATGTTCTGACTCACACAGGAGCTTGCTGAAATTGGAAGCTACAGATCTAATGGATAGAATGTAATTCCATTTTGTTGATAGCTCAAGAGCTGTGGGAGAAGAAAAAACAACAGAAGGCTGAAGCAGCAGATTACCTGGCTAGGGCTTTTATGAGTGTCCTCTGTCTTCTGGTTGTCTCAAAACTTTGCTTGATTTCTTTGTTAACTTTCAATGGCATAGAGAAGGCTCATCCTCAAAAAGTGTGGGGCTTCATTCTTGTCCTGTTGTGTCAGTTTGAGGTATCCAGTTTCCCATGATTGATTTCATTTATGCTTTCCTCCTTGGTTGTCCTGTTTGCACAAGTCAGGTGAAAGACACAGGCTGGAGGGGTGGGCATTTAAGATGCTTGCTTAGAAAGAATATGCATGGAAGCATTAAGTGTTCTGTAAGAGGCTGGGAGTTCTATCTAACTCCTAGAAATCATTCTGAAATCTGGAAATACGGCCATTGAAACAGTAAGTTAAAACACAGTCTCCACAACAAGCATTTGATTTAATTATGCTATTTTATGAAAAGCCTTCCACAACAAAATGATCTTGGTGACCATACTTCTGTTAATCTCAAGTGTCAGGTTACTGCAGTATGGAGCAGCTGGCATATGCATGATGTACTGGTGTCTCCAGATAGTGGAAAATTCCCTTAATTTATTTGTGGATTTTTTTCCTTTGTTAGGTATTACTAGAAGCACAGAAAGAACTGGTGGACTACAAAGGACTTGGTATAAGTGTTCTCGGTAAGACTGAAAAATGTAGATTTTGTTTTGTTTTTTTTTTAATTTAGACGTTTGACAAACTGTTTAGTAAAACTTTTTCATCTTGGTATTTAAACTCCTTTTCGTTACTAATGACTTATGCTGTTACTGTATATATTCAGAGAATATTTTTTCAAACTGCTTTTCTGCCATTCATCAGACCATGAAGTGATACATAGCCAGATGTTTAGTGATACAAACAAAGGATTAGAGACAAAAAACCCCTTAATCATATTGAGAACATTAGTACTTTCGCACCACTGGGCAGGGGTATGGGAGTGTATTAATATGTAGGCAATATATATAAGAAAATATGTATCTATAAAATACTATATGTGTATAAACACATTATCCACAGATATGCAAATGCTATATGTGTATATATAGAATCATAGAATTGCAGAATAGTCAGGGTTGGAAAGGACCTTAAGATCATGAAGTTCCAACCTCCCTGCCATGGGCAGGGACACCTCCCACAAAACCGTATCACCCAAGGCCTTGTCCAACCTGGCCTTGAACACCGCCAGGGATGGAGCATTCACAGCTTCCCTGGGCAACCCATTCCCATATATATATATATATATATGGGAATATATAGCATATATATATATATATGGGAATATATATATATATATATATATATGGGAATATATAGCATATATAGGATCTTATATACTGTGTGGCAGAACACTTCAGCTACACCTAGAGCTGGGTCTTTATAGTTTGGAGAAGAGGAGATTGAGGGGTGACCTTATTAGTGTATATAATTATATAAAGGGGGAGTGTCACGAGGATGGAGCCAGGCTCTTCTCAGTGGCAAACAATGATAGGACAAGGGGCAATGGGTACAAACTGGAACACAAGAGGTTCCACTCAAACTTGAGAAGAAACTTCTTCTCAGTGAGGGTGACGGAACACTGGAACAGGCTGCCCAGGGAGGTTGTGGAGTCTGCTTCTCTGGAGACATTCAAAACCCACCTGGACACATTCCTGTGTAGCCTTATCTAGGTGTTCCTGCTCCGGCAGGGGGATTGGACTAGATGATCTTTTGAGGTCCCTTCCAATCTCTAACATACTGTGATACTGTGATACCGTGATGCTGTGATACCTGATGGATAGCATCCTTCCCATTAGGAAGGCAATGCTGTCCTGTCATAAGGAGGAGGTGTCTTCTGCACCATATAGTAGCTGACTGGCTTTTCAGCTCCAGTTGCACATAACTTTATTCAAGAAGATGGTCAGCATTTTACTAGTTCTGTGAAACTGTTTGTTTGCTAGAAACAGAATGTGCACCAGTCTGTAGGATTTGTATGCATGTTTGAATTGTATGCTCTTACTGATGGAAGGAAGCATATGAATATAATAAAAATAATTAGTGTTAGCTAACCCTAAGTGTGCTTAATATTTAATTAGGATTACAGCATGAAGAAGTCTTGCAAAAAATAAAAGAACAAAACAAGCCATTACACCTTACTCTATACTTGTTGCAGCATAACAAGCAGGGAAAATTCTTAGAGTGAGAAAAACTTACGCCTTTCTAGGGATTATTGTTTTCACACAAATGTAGTTGTTCTTGGGGTTACTAAGGTCATGTGGATGCCAAATGTGAATGGACTGGGTTTGCCTGGATCTGGACAAGACTGGAGGTATAAGTCTTGTTTAAGTATTTAGGAAGGCTCGGCAATAAAAGTAACATGACTTGAAACTGGGAATGGGACTCCCAGGCCTTTTAGGTCTATAGAGTAAAAGTTTTAAAGCTTAACGTAATTTTAAAATAAGATTGGTGTATTACCATTTTGTTTCATGTTATTTCTTCTTTCCTTTCCACCAAAGAAATGAGCCATCGAACCTCAGACTTCACAAAAATTTTAAATACAGCTGAAAATCTCGTGCGTGAATTGCTGTAAGTCAGTTACTTCCTACTTATTTTTGTGTTAGTTGTACCAGTAATGACTAATGTGGAGACTGTGGACACCCTTCCTTGAAAGCACTTGTTTATGGGGGGGTGTATTACCTTTTGTTTTAGATACTGTGTTTGACAGAGTATTAATCTTGGAGAGAACACTGGTCTTCTGTTTGTCTGATGCAGATTTATTTGGATTTGATTAAGGGTTTTTATTATGTTAAGATGCTTTTTATATGTCTACTACACACTGATTAGTTGCATTTCTTATGAAACTTTAATTTTTATCACCTTCATAGAATTAATGAAGGGCATCAACTTTCTTCAAGAAGTAAGTGGAAACAATGGAAATCAGTTCTCTAGTGGTATAGAGGTGATCTGTACGTTACATATCTTAGAATCCTTGAGCAGGAGCCCTTTTCCTATTTGTAGTGTGACACATTTTTCAAAGTTTGAAATAATTATATTGTATATTAGAATTAGTGTTGTCATAGTAGCTTATGTTAGTCATCTCATATAAAAGCTTGACTGCCAATCGCAGGCAGAATGATTGGCAGAGGGGTTTCAATGATCAGTTTGAACAAGTAATTTTTGTTACTGTATGGACAATTCCTTATGGCACTTGCTCTACATGCACAGTTTGCTATACAGTTGCACTTCCGACTGAAGGGTCTCAAAGCTGGGTTCTACTGTGAGCACTTTGGTGTGAAGTTTGTGGCCTGACAGAAAAGTCGTGAAGCAAGCAGTAGACAAAATTACAAATGAGCATTAATTCTACTGGAATATCTTCTAAGCTTGTGTGTACTATGATAGTAAAGCTATTCAGGAGTGAATTTATTTGATGATATCCAAGGGGGGTTGAAAAACTTGTTTTCATCAAATTTTTGCAGTAAAATATATAGCATTACAAGTTGTTAGTGAAGATCAGTGCTGAAGTAAGTTAATGGGATTTGGTCTAAACTCTTGGCAGAGTCTTCTGAAATGACAGTGTTTTTCCTCTGTTGCTATATGCTGTAAATGCATAATATCAAGTAGTATGCATTCTTTGTCTTCTGGGAATAATAATAGATGGTTATTTATTGCATGCAGAAATGTACCAGAAAACTACAAAGTCCTTTTCCTCCAAGGAGGTGGATCTGCTCAGTTCAGTGCAGTCCCACTTAACCTTATTGGTTTAAAGGAGGGAAGACATGCAGATTATGTAATTACTGGAGCTTGGTCAGCAAAAGCAGCTAAAGAAGCAGAGAAGTATGCCAAAGTGAATATCGTTCATCCAAAACTAGGAGCGTATACAAGTAAGTTGATGACTACATCTGTTCATATGAATGCTTAGCTTTTTGAATCCCTCTAAAAAGTGGTCCAACTCAGATATTAGGTTATTCAGTGTTAACTAGTTAGAGTTGACTGTCCAGCACTCAAGAGATTGCCTGCCACATCTCCCCATGTTCATCACTGGGAGATCTGTTAGATGTCTTAACCTTCTCCACCAAAAGAGAATTGTGAAACTAGACTGATCAGATTGCAGAAAATAAGCTGCAAGAAGCAAACATGTATTAGTAGGGAAATGATCTGGGCTGTCTGATTTCTTTTTTTCTTTTTCTTTTTTGTTTGTTTGTTTTGACTGAGTTCTTAAGCTATTTGCAGGGATATTGCAAAGTATTTCAGTTTCAAGTACACTCAATGAGGTTGCTGTGAAATTCAGAAGCATATTTGGTATCTTAACCTTGTTGGCCCAGGAGATGGGAGATCTGCATTCTGTTGCCTACTTTCTGGGGTTCCCAAATACTTATCTTTCCCACCCATGTGTCATAACAGGCAGTTAGTTCTGAAATAGAAGAGGCATTTCAGCTCTTCCTCTGGCACCTTATTACTGGACATAACATAATCTGAATGAACACAGTGTAGAAGGAAGAAAAAGGTTTACTGTAATTGAGGCATTAGGCATTTTTATGACACAGTCTGTGTGAAGAACTTAAGTGTATAATTTGTATGTACATAAATAATTCGTGCCGTAGGGATACCTGAATTCTGGTTTCTAGCCCTGCTAGTCATGCTCACTTGTCTTAGTTTTGGTCCAAATGACAGCATTTGGATTTTTAAGAGTGGCAACAGGAAAGGCAAAGAATATCCACATATAAGTTAGTATATTAACAGGTGATTAGGGCACAAACTTGGAAGATCAGTTTATACCCTTTGAGGCACAGGAAGGAATTCAACCTACAGTTTTCCAGTCGAGGGAGTGTATCCACCATTTGGCAGCTGTAGATAATGGGAGAGGTAGTAAGTAATGATGGAGGTCATAACAGCACTTCTTCCCCATGTGTTTTGGAGGAGAGAAGAAAGACAGAGTAACCATTTGTTCTATGCAAAACCTGTTCTGTGCTGTCAGGGCATGCCTGTATTTTGCCTGTTGACAGAGGAAGTACTAGTTTTGCAAATCGGTTGCAAAGCTTAAGTGGGAGGTAGGCAGATAAACTTGTGTTCAGCTTGGGCAAGACTGAAATGCTTCTGGGGACCCTCAGAAATGGAGCTTTGAAAAACTTTGCCAGTGCGAATCTGGAGGATTCTTGGATCCAGTGCCTCAATTCTCTGAAATGCTATTTTGTACCCCGTGGCAGTAGTTTTCAATCTGGGATTGCAAACATGATTAAAATCCCTTGAGAAATAAGGGCTGATAATTTTCAGGCTGATCATTGAAAGGTGTTTGCAAGCTTAATGGTGGCTCATCACAGAATTTTGAGAATGCAGTGATGTGTTTCATTTGCAGATAAATTATATTTTCCTAGTAACAAGATAATGAATGCTTTATACTGCAGAATTGTTGTAGGTTTGCAGTTAAGTCTGCATTTCACTTGAACACAAAAATTCCTTATCTCCAGTGACCTTTGGTTTTCTTTTTTGTCTGTCTCAGACATTCCTGACCCAAGCACTTGGAATCTTAATCCAGATGCATCTTATGTTTATTACTGTGCTAATGAGACTGTTCATGGTGTGGAGTTTGACTTTGTACCTGATGTCAAAGGAGCAGTCTTGGTTTGTGATATGTCATCAAACTTCCTGTCCAGACCTGTGGATGTTTCCAAGGTACATGTTGGACACAGTGGCTGCATAAAGCATTTTCAAACTTAAATGCATATAATTAGACAGTTTGAAATGTCCGGGTGGCTGGAGATGCTGAGCAGTGTAATACAGAACATTGCGTTTCATTGATTTTTGTATCTGATGGTGAATATAAATTTTGAAATTTAAAGTTTCAGATTTCAGTGTCTACCTGTTCTCCTGTTTTGGTTTGTTTTGTTTTGTTTTTTTTACATTTTTTTTTAAATTATTACTTTTTTTTCCTTTTTCTGGTAAAACCAGGTTGACCTATGTTGAAATAGTTCATCTTAGTAGCTGTCCAAGCTTGTCTGCTTTGTGGTCTTCACCGATGCTGTAGCTGAAAAAGATACCTTCTGAATTGTGTTTAGTCTGTAGATAGTGTATATGGTTATAGCACGGTACTGTGAATCAGAGTTTTTGATCATGCCTCTTACATGGAAAATCTGTAACCCCTTTTAAGCTGATAAAGCTTCCTATGCCTCACGACTGTTGTGTCTGTTTTATAGACAATACAGAGACACAACACAGTACTTGCTTGCTTAAGTTTGTAAAGTGTGTTAGGAGTGGGAAGTGTTACTGACCACTGAGGTATCATGTTTTACCTTTTTTTGTCTGTGTATAGCAAAAAGAATTGTTAGTGCATTCATCTTGGGCTTTCCTCATCTGCCTTTTCAAACTGGTAGATTATATGATCCTCTGAAATACCAAATCAGTTGAAAATATTGTGATCTCTGTATGAATTTATTTTAGTCAGTTTGCTTGGAGTACAGTGAAGTTGGGACAGGCTGCCGTGAGAATTATTTGTGGCTACTAAATAAACATTTAGCAAATCTTTGGGAAGTTTATTGTTCCTCAGTTGGAAGAAGGTAGATGGCTCTAATAATAGACATATATGGGATAACAACTGTAGCTGTAACTGCACTTCGAAATCAGAACTTCTAACTCTTCTTTAACTTAGAACTTGCATATTTTCAACACATTCTCCAAGCTGTTATGCTGACTTGTACCCTGTTGTATAATGATACTGGAGTATTAATCAGTTATAAGATCTACTAGTGTATGCATGTACCAAGGCCTTCTTTTCTTCTCTTAGTTTGGAGTGATTTTCGCTGGTGCTCAGAAGAACGTTGGCTGCGCTGGGGTTACTGTTGTAATAGTACGTGAGGACTTGTTGGGATTTGCACTGAAAGAATGCCCTATAGTGCTGGATTACAAAACGCAGGCAGTGAACGGCTCTTTGTATAACACTCCACCGTGCTACAGGTAACTTGCCCTGCTATTTAACATCTCCTGTCTGGAAAGCAACTGCACTGCCATCTGCTGCTCTTATCGAGAAAAGTTTCACAACCTCAGTATTTGACTTGAAGTCACTGATTCGTTGGTGTGTTTCACAGGAACCCTGTGGGAACATGGGATGTGTCCAGCCACGACCGAGCGGGGTTTGAGGTAGCCTAGTAGGACTCAGCCATAAAGGACATAGTATTTTTAGAAGTAAATATTATATGTCCTAATTACATTATGAAAATTTCAGGTTCCAGTTTTGCCTTTTAAGAGCTCTTGTCAGTTCAGTGGTGGTGCTTCTGTCGTTTGCAAATAGGTAATTTGGCACTTAGTCTTGCTTCTTGAGCACTCAGTATAGTTTTGGTTTAATTTTTCCCTGAGGTTTTTCTTGGCATTTGAACCTCCCGATCTCTACCTCTGCTGTAAATAATAGCAAATGCTGTTTTTTAAAAATATGTCTTGGTCTAGCTACATGATTTACTACTGTTGGTTTTGAAATTAAATTGCAAAAGGTTGTGGGGGGTTTTTGTTTGTATGTGGTTTTGGTGTGGTTTTTTTTTGTTTGTTTGTTTGTTTGTGTTTGGTTTTTTTTAAGGTAATTTAGTCACTGCTGTGTTTTATTCTCTAGTACAACTTATTTTTCTACTCACTTCAGTCTTTGACTTGGCATCCGGAAATGAAATTGGTCTAGCTTCATAATCATTGCTAGCAATCAAGATCATAAAATTGGCATTTACCCGGTGCTTTCATGTATGCAAGAAGCAGAACAGACTGCAGGTTGCTCTTCTAATATTACTGTCTGCTACCTTGTGTTAACTAGTGAAATGATGTTTTGCTACTGGAATATTTAGGTGTTGACTAGTAGTATCTACCTGTTCTTAATCTGGAGCATTTTTATACCAGTGTTCACTAGAATGAATATTTTAAAAAAGCAAATCTTCAAACCAGGTATTTCCTCCCCTTCCGCCCTCCCTCTTCCCCTTCCCTCCCTAAAGTTTTTTAAATTACTTCAAAATTCTGGCATGTGTGAAAAAGTCAAGATTAAAAATTTATGTCAGACTGCATTATCAAAATTATTTGAATAAAAAATAAATGTTATCTTTAGAAGTAGAAATCATTAAAGTTAAGTTGCCTAATGGTGTCCAACAGATAATAAATACACTGTATAGGCATAAAGTACAGTGATTCATATGTATAAAGCCTACTTTAATGCCACTACTTACTTAAAGTCAATACAATTTTAAGTGATACTAATTGTATTTCTGAATCTGCTGATTCTTACTACCTAAGTAACAGAGGCAGTTATATTAATTTATCAGAAGAACAGTAAATCTCATAAGCATATATTTACCCCAGATTTTACAACGCACAACTAGTTTTCCCAAGCAGTACGCATACTGTAGAGTATATAGTGCTGGAATGACGTACTCTGGCTGCCACCATGTCTGCCCTTGTGAGCTGGGTACACACAGTGTCCCTTAGGGCTGCTGTTAAGACAAGAATTTACCTTAAATGTTTCCAGATTTTTTGAATGTTGCTTTAACATGGGCTGTGTGTCTCTTTTCCCAGTGATTGAAAAGCCTGTATTCTATGATTGATTGTTTTCCTGACTGCCAAGTCCAGCATTTTGATTTGGACACTGTGTACTTGCACAGCCATTTGTGTTCTCCAAGTACAAAGCTATTTGCGTTTGAAAGGTTCTACTTAATCTCAGCATTTAGACCAGAGGAGCAACACAGTTTGAGAAGCAAACCAAATTAAATCATGCAGCTTTATTGTAGCCACTGCAAAGAACTTCTGAGAAGAAAGTGCGGCTTTAGATGTAACTCAGTATGTGTCAGTAACATCAACAAGTTAGTGAGATGAAGGGAGCTGAAAATAAAGTTGAACTAGTGTTTTTTTCCCTTTCATATCACTGCCTTGCCAGATTTCACTCCATGCTACAGAGCCACATCGGAGTACACTCCAGGATGCAGAATGTAACACAGACTGAAATGTTGGCAGGGTGCACATCTGTTTGGCTTGGCTCTACATGCCTGTTCCAGTTCCTGCAAGGAACTGGCAAAGCTTCTCAGTTCTTTCTTTCCTCAGCTCTTTTCCTTGCACTCTCTAATGGTCTGCTGGCAAACAGGCAGGAAATATTAACTGAATTTGCAAAAGCTACTTCAGCAGGATATTAAGTAAAATTAAATTAAGGTGATGCTAACGGCTTTAAACTCTTTGCACTACAGAGCTTGACTCTTTGACCCTAATCTGCTTTGCTAAAATTAACAATAAATTTGCTATAAAAATCTCATTTCCAAGCTCCAGAGTGCATTTTGCGTTTAAAATTGCTCCAGAAACATTACTTTGACATGAAAGAAGGATAAAAGATTTCAGCTGGCTGGGTTTTGTGGATGACTCTAAGGCTGACGTCTTTAAACTTTACTTACCCAAGAAGCTTCACTGAAGGAAGTGAGGGCAAGAGGTGAATGTAGCCCTGTATTTTTGGCAAGGGCATAGGCTTCACTTAAATCTTTTACACTGGGGTAGTTGATAGTGTGTTGTCATAAATGTATCAGGATTCTGCTCTTAAAGCTGTAAGGTACTTTGTATAAAAGTCAGTCTTCAGTTTTTCTGCAGTGTTCAAAGATTTGTTGCTGGCATCCCCATAGAAATTAAAAGTAGCAAAGTTTAAAGCAGCCTCCTGCTACATTTGTGTTAGGGAAATGTGTAGGGTAATGTTCTCTGAGCACTCCCTTGGAATCTGTAATGAAGGGATTAATAAAAGCGAGCTTGTTGGGGATATGCCATAAAAACTTGTGAACAGTTTTTTTTTATGTAAAGTGTTGTAGCTGTGGGCAATGCCTAGCCTTGAACAAGCTCAGTTTTGTAGCTAAAGCACAAGGGCAAAAGGCCTCAGGGATTTTTTTATGTGGCACTTATTAACTAGCATTGAAACACTAAATATACCCAAGCCACCTGATGCCAGGAGGCTTCCAGATCTCTACTTAGAGCTCGAATGGTAATGAATAATCAAGTGTGGTATATCATTATTTGTTTCACCAAACTTCACTGTTCATGTGGGCAGAAAGTCTTTTTAGACAGAAATGGGATTATAATTTTTATTTTTGATGTTTGAAAATATGATTAGGTTTCTGGTATTTGGGGTTCACTGCTGTATCTTTGCTATAGTAGCCATGCAGGGTGGGTGCTACTCGCTTTTGCACTACCTCTGGCTCTTTTTAGGGTTTGACAGACAGTTGTGTGGTCAATGAACTGGCAGTCTCTGCAGCGTGTCTGGGGATGTCCTGGGGAGCCTAGCAGGGCTGCAGGAAACCGGCAGGAATTGTCCTTCTGTGGTGCAAAGTAGGAGGTTTGGTACAACAGATTTGTGTAACATTTGAATTTCTTTATCTGTGTTCAAAAAATACTGCCTGCTTGAAATTGCCATTAGTTCTAAAATACTTCAGACTCTGGGTTGTTAAGCACTCTAAAACCAAATATATGGTTTTGTGACTGAAACAGTTTGTGAACTAATAAACAGGACTGTGATTTTTGTGGGGTTTTTATTTTGGGGTGGTTTTTGGTGGGTTTTTTGTATTTTTATTTTTTAGTAATCTGAAAAATATTCTTTCCTTTTGTAGTATTTATATCATGGGACTGGTACTGGAATGGATAAAGAATAACGGTGGAGCTGCAGCCATGGATAAACTTAGTTTAATCAAATCACAAATGATTTATGATATTATAGACAAATCTAACGGATTCTATGTGTAAGTTCCTGTGCTTTTCCCTTTGTTTTCAACATTCGTTGCAGAGCCAGACGTTTGTAACTTTTTAAGAACCTGGTTGCAGCATATTTTTAACATTACCTTTTCAGTATATAGAAATTCCTGTAGGATTACTTGTGCAAAGTTGGTAACTATTTGTTCAAACTATTCACTTGAGAAGGATGAGTCGCATTCCAGTAGGAAGCTATTTCAAGTTATCCTGTATAGGTCAGCTGTAAAGCATATTAGTAATCTATGTTCTAAAATTAATAAAATTCAGGAGCCTAGGAGAAGAGTATGCAAAAAAAAAACAGATACAGAGCTTGTGGTTAGTATGCTTACTGAATCTCTTGCAGGCCAAAACAGAGAAAGTGTCTTGTAAGAAATTGCAGTGACTGCTTTTGTATCACATCCTTCCTACTGTCTCTTTCAGTAGTCAGACTCTGCTTTTTCTCTGTCAAGCAGAGAATTTTAATTAGCTAATTATGCTGTGTTCTCAAACAGTTTCTGGACAGAAAGAGGCAGATCAGACCCAGAGGTAGTAAAAATGTAATACAGTTTATTTTCCTCAGTTATTTTTTATGTTTTTCCAAAGCAGACTTAACCCTCTGATTTTTACATGTTGTTGCAAGGTATTTTTGATCTCATAGGACCAAGTATATGTGTAGTTAAAAGCAGATGTTGTAATTTGGAATAACTGTAATATTTGCCAAGCTCAAACTAATAAGCGACTGTGAGACTGCAAAATATTTTCCTTCACTTTCAGTATAAAATCCACATTTTTGGGACATAATAACTTTCTAGCCAAAGTTAGGTTAGGGTAAATTAAATTTGGATTTTAAATTAAAGCTGGGTGTAACCTTAATTGGCAGGGATATAGTTTCATCATAATATTTAATACATTCTGCTTATCCATTTAATGAGAACAGCTTTGCCTTTAGCATTGCCATGATCATGATTGTGATCCTACTCTACTGAAATCCTGAGGGTTTTTCACAAACTTAGTAAGCAACTGAAGCCTTGAAAAAATATTTTGTGACAAAGAGAAACCTGTTTCTGGCAGGCTGGTCTGTGAGGGGATATACAATGCAGATGGTATGGTAAACACTGGGAAGGCAAAACAGAGCCATATACATCTTAATAAGCAATACCTTTAAGTCTGGATTTTTTTTTTGTTGTTTTATCTGCGACTAAAAGGGAGACTCATCTGAAGCTGCTTTCCCAGCTGTAATGTGGCATGCCTCACTGGGTAAGCAGTGTGACAAGCCAGTTAGCAAATGGAGACTTTCTTCCACAAAGTACTGTGTCCCATTTGCAGTTTACTTTCCGAAGTCTGTGCACTGACTGAGTTACACCAGATTGCCTTATAGTAACTGGATCTTCTAAAAGCTATAGCATAGCTACAGATTTGCAAATAATGGGGATGCTCACATGCATAGCCCTTTTTGAAAAGTATTTTTCTGGTTGCATCTCAAGTATAAAATTTTCATAGGCAGATATGATTGATCATTTTTCTCTTCAACATGGGTATATCTGTACAAAGGAACCAAGGGAGGAACTAAAAAATAATGATACCCATTCTTTGTCAAATAGAATAATAATAGGTATGAAACTTGCATGCAGTTTATGAGAACTTATTCCTAATGAGTCCATGTAAGAAACTATATCAACAGCCTTAGGAAAGAATAAATCTAGAGGCTTCATATCTCCTGTGTAACTGGATGCACTAAAGAAAACTATTTAAATCATCCCCCCCCCCCCCCCCCCATTCTTACTGTCATAAAATAATTGAAGAGAAATTCTGCTTTAAATGTATCTTGAATTTTCTAGTGTAGATTAAAGGGAATTTTAAGGGATTAAAGAGCTGTGATGCACCTTGTATGTTGTGGCCATGTATGCAATGCAAGATTTGTTTTGTAGATCTCTACTTGAGATGTTTATGATTCTGAATACTAATGTAGAAGGTGGACTGAACCCACTAACAGAAGTCCCTAATGTCTATGGAAATTTCCTTCTTATGCTTCCTTTAGCTGTGAAGAAACTGCTTAAGAGTTAGTAAAAATTCACTGTACCTAATCTCACTCACCATAGGGAATGTAACTGAGACTGTTGTGGGTGGGGCGGTGGTTTTTATTATGCCTCCTGTGCATTCTTCTGGGGCAATTTTGAGTATGCCAGGAGTTAAATAAGTCTTCCACTTACTGTCTCTGTTAGTATACTTGTTTAGAGGAAGGTTGCTTTCTTTCACAGAAAGTAATGACTTTTCAGCTATAGAGGAATGACTTTGGTGATAAACAGATGCAGTTTTGCTTTCTGAAAGTGCATGTAGCTGAAAATGTAAAATTAGCACAAAATGGATTAATCATCACATTCTGCAACTTTTCTAGATGTCCAGTGGAGAAAAAGAACCGAAGCAGAATGAATGTCCCTTTCCGTATTGGCAGTACCAAGGGTGATGAAGCACTGGAAAAGAAATTTCTTGAGAAAGCTGTGGAGCTCAACATGATATCTCTGAAAGGGCATCGGTAAGTATTAGTCAGATGAATCCTTTTCCTGTGCAGAATAAACTGTTACTACAGTGACAGAGCAGCAGGCTTGTGCATTGACTTACCAGCATTTCTTACCCACATGCTGTTCCTTATACTGATTTGGCATCATTTGGGAATAGCAGTTTGAGAGAGTCTGAGACTGTAACCAGAGACTGCAGCCAGAGGCTGCTGGTCGCTCAGCTACTGCTGAGGTGTCGTGGGCTTCAGAGAGCTTTCTCCTCAGTTCTGCTGTCAGTTTGGTAAATCTGGCTCTGTGCAAATGCCAAAGAAGGTGACTCTTGAGGTCAGATTCTGTCATTGTATAAAGCTTTTCCGTGTGCCTTGTCTACCTGGTTGCAAGAGCTCCTTCCCATGTCCAGTGGTGTTTGTGGGATTAAAAACAGATAGCTTTTTCATGTCATAGAGCTACAGTGTTAGAGCTACAAATAACTAAAAAGCACAGAGTTTCTCTAGGTTGCAAGCTTGATATGAAGACTTAAATGTTGCTTCTTACTCACATACAATGTGAATTTTTACCCCTTTGGAGCAGGGGTAGGTTAAAATGTCTGTGAATGTTAATGTCTCTTTTCAGAATATACAAGACCTTTTTATTCTTTTTTCTGTTTTCAATTCAGATCTGTGGGAGGAATCCGTGCCTCTTTATACAATGCAGTGAATGTAGAAGATGTTCAGAAGCTTGCAGCATTCATGAGAAGCTTCCTGCAGATGCATCAGTCATAAATGCTGATGGGTTAGAACCACGCTGCACATCTATGGCATAAAAGCTAAAGGTTTTGAGAGTTACTGTGGTACCACACAGCTGTAGTGCACAAGTTATATTTTCTTTTAGTTCCTGTAGCTGTTTTAGTTAACTGCAAAGGATTGAGGCTCAATCTTGCAATAACTTGCTAGCCTTGACTTCACTGAGGGTGAGGATCCCCAGACTGATCAACATTGGTTCCAAAATTTGCAAAACAGTGTTCTAATGTGTAGTTAAAACATGAATAGCATTTTAAGATGCTATGGATCTGAGTCTGATTCTTGCTTCTAGTCACAAATGACTTCTTCAGCAATGCCTTTTTTTCAGTAAATGTCAGGAGACAAAATCTGTCATGTGCTTTCTGTAATGCTTTACAAATACCCTGTGACTGCACAGTGAAGCTAGAACTAATGTTAAGTGTTCTCTAAGGACATCTAGTTGGTTTATCAGATATATTCCACCATCAGGTATATAATCCAGAAGTTAGTGTCTGTGTTCCTAACTTGAGGACCTTGCCTTCAGACTTCTGCTCCCATGCTTGAAACACTTAACAGTTCCATGTAGTGATACCCATTGTGGTTAAAGTCTGTAGGACTGAGCCTTTTCTTGTGTTATCATTTACACGTTTAAAGCTAGGATGCATGAGTCTGTAATTACATAAATCTGTATGATGTTGTTTATTTCTCTATGCATTTTGTATGTAAAACTTCTCTAGGTTAATTAATTTTATATTCTTATTTTGGAGTGCGCATATGTGCTCCTGCCAAAAACTTGGTTTTAATTTTTTAACCTACTGCCGAACTGGATGGCTGTATTCCAGTCAGTGAATCTGTGACTTTCTCTGCACTGACTTCCTAGCCCAAAGTACATCAGACTTTCTTCTTTGGTGCTTATAAAATGTCTTCCCTCTCTAATTGCTCCAGTGTTTTCTCTGCCTTTTCATTGCTTCAGTTCTGTACCTTTTTGTATGTGGGGATTTGCCCAGTTGCAGTAAATACAAGTCTTGACTTTTCTGCCTTTTCTTGACACTTCCTCACACTTTTGGCCCAACTTTCTCCCTCAGTCCTTGCAGACTTTGGTAGTCTGGGCTAGAGAAAGAGCTGTGGTTTTATGCAAAGATCTGTTATACTACCCTTAAGTTACTTTTCTTTCTCAGCTTGTGACTTTACTGCCATTTACCATATAGAGATAGTACCCTCCTACTTATGTAGAAGATATTTGTTAGTATCATACTGTTTAGCATTACTGCAGCTGTTTACGGACTGTAAACTCTTTGGTACAGGACTGGGGTTTTCTTATTTTGATGTAACAATTAATAATGATGATGATGGACTGTCACTTTCTTAGTGGAACCTCACAGCAAGTCAGTGGAGTTGTGCTAAGGTTAAGTTACATCCGTATCTGAAAAGTCCTATATTAACTAGTGTTTTGAGATTTTTGTCAACTTAGTTTAATTCAAAGTAATTAAATAAATCTGATGAAGAAAATAAAACTTAATCACAGCATGCTGTGAAGTACCAGTGTGTCTAAAGCTTTTGTTTTTGTCACTTTCTGAAGGATGAGAAGTCATTCATAATGTGTTAGAATTTTAGATTCCAGTATTATCCTTTTCCCTAGAAGGCAAGCTTGCCTCATTTATGTTTTATTTTTTTCTGAAAATGATCTTTTCTGTAACTAGTGTGGAAACAAGAGTACTACTACCAGAAGGCTTTGAGAACTATTTGTACCCTGCCAATGATGAAGATATAATTCGGGTTCCATATTAAGCTTGATAACTTTCTTAAATTCCACTCCCTCCAAATTTTGTATACTTGTTTTCAACAATAGCTGTGGCTTATATCTCTTTTGAAAAGCTAGTAAACTTTTCTTTTTTTATAGTAGGTTTGCATTCCTTGTAGCAAGAACACCTTTACCTGTGACTGCAAAAAGGCTTGCACTGCTGTATGCAGTCGTCACCCAGCTGGAAACCTCTTTGCTGCTTCTTAATTGTGCCTCGCATCCTGTCAATTAAAGTCTTTTTTTTTCTACCTAGAAAGGCAAAAATCCTGTAAAAGCAAAATGCAGAATGACTAATGTAGTAAGACTAGACTGAATTTCATGTGAGGGGAATGCAAAAATGCTGGGAAGACTGGAGCATGTGCTGAATGAGCTAGTTACCTGAGATTTGTTTTGACTCATCCATGCAATAGTTCTGCCCTTCCAAACTGTATCCCTGAAAGATGTAATCAGGGTATTGAGCCATGGTGGACAGAGAAATGCCGCTTCCACTCATCGGATTAGTAGGAGGAATTTCAGCAAGGGGTTGCTGAGAGTCCTGGTCTATTTCCCTTATGTCAACACTTCCAAGCTGGGTCAATAATGCAGTGTTTGAAAGCAGGGCTTTTCTTGGTGTGGTATGAATTCTCCTGAGGCACTTAAAGATGCTGTAAAATGGAAGTACTTGTCTCATCTGAGTTTGTGCATGTAGGGAGAGAATTGTAGGAGAGAATTGTAAGATAAACTCTTTTCAAAGAACGCTGCTTTCAATTCTTCTTATAGTGAATTGTCTCTACTGCATCTCCTAGCATTTGTCTTTGATTTGGTAAAAGCAGTTGCTAGAGAACTCTGTAGTTTAAAAGTCCCTAGCCACCATCTAAACCAGCCCTGGCCTAAAAACAGAAAGCTGCCAAGGAGGTTTCGTGCTCCCTGTGTACCTGCTTGGCAAAGTAAGGAGTGCTTTACCCCAGGTGAGGAAACTGTAGATCAGGAAGGTACCCTATCCCAGGGAACTACTGCCAGTTGTCAGTGATAGGGTCTTTCCATGGCAGTACCACCTCTGAGCCTGGCATGAAAGAATAAAATAAGTCAGGTTTGGCACATCCTTATTTAATTAGTAATTCTAGTGGGGTTAAATGTTTTGTGCTGACAGCCTTGGCCCTCTTTGTCAGCTGACACTCGGTATTTTCATATATTTTCCCTGTTTCTGTTTAGATTAATCATGTTTTTCTTTTCAACTTGCAACTAGTTTAATATTTTTAGATGAGCCCAGGGATATTTTGAAGTAAAAAGTGTAAGTCTATTTTTGACATTCAAGTAACTGTTTGGAATGAAACAGGAATAAAAGACATCATAGATGTCTAATCCATAGATGGATTAGAAGTTGTCAAAGTATGCTGCAAGTGTTGCTAGATCTGGCACAACACTGTATGATTTATGTTTGCTGTATTTCATTCTCTGGGTAGAAAATAAAATGAGGGTGAACCTTTTTGTGTCTGATAAGGATGTACCTAATTAAAAAGTGAAATGTTACAAGGTTTTACATTAAATCAGTTACTTGGAAAGGAGGTATCCCCATTCCTGTTGGTAATTGAACTCTTGATAATTTAAAACCAGGATTCATGACAGTCTGTGACAGATCGGTCCCTTTTAGGCTAAAGAAGCTAAGAAGTTATAACTACCAATGGATTACTGAATGGTTGGAGGAGCATGATCAGAGAGATGCAAAAAGATACACAGAAGAGATGGTAGCTTGTGAAAATGTTTCTGTTTTCTTATTAGTAGTTAAAGAATATGTGTTTGATTAGACAAAAACAAATGCTGTGCAGTTTCTAAAATGCAGAAAATTTGAATTCACTATGCATAAAAAGCAAAAATTGTGTGTGCAAACAGATTAATTGCAAAAAAGATGTGAAGAAATCATGTAAGAAGAGTTGAAAGTTTGCTATGCTATTACAAGAGAAACTGCCATTAAGCTGCTTGGAATTTATAACACAATGAACAAATCTGAGAATGATTATTTGTTTTGGTTCCATTATATAAACTGAAGACATTTGAGAGACATACTGCTAAAACTAGGGATGGTAGTAACAAACTCTTGCTGCTGTGTAACTGAACAGATGTTCTTCCGTAGTAAGCACTAGTTTTTGAACTTGAAACAAAACTGTATGAAACTTTCAGACCCTGGTGTTGGGTTTAGTAGCTGATCAAACTGGAAATAAAGAAGTATAAAAGCCAGTAAACTTAATTCTTAGCTTGTACTGGCCTGCCACCATAGAATCACACTGGCTCATGGCTTTTCTTCCCTATCAGGGCAGCCCAAATCGCATTGCTTTTGGATGCATTTTCATTGTGAAAACAGTCTTAGTGGTGGGAGGTTTTAATGCTTGTCTCAGTTGTGACTGTGCTTCACCAGGTGTCCTTGTACTCAGTATTGTATGTCAGGTCTGGTCCCTGTATCAGGACTGAAATGAAAGGTTTTTTCTGGAGGTTTTTCAGTCAGCCACCCAAACTGTACCTCCTCTTTTCTGGTATGGGATCAAAGCTTGTCTTCAATTCTGTAAATCTGGCTGGTGATGTGAAGTAGTGTGAAGTAAGACAGGACATTGCTCTGGTGGTGTGAGGGGTCCTGTGATCATGTGGCAAGAGAAATGGTGATGGACATTGACAGCAGAGCTATGTGCTCTGTGACTTCTGGAGGAAGCATCACGCCAAGTTAATGGAGAAGTATGTGGAAGGTAAATGCTGGGTGACAGCTGGCAAATAGGTATAGATATATTGGGAGGCTTTGGAATTAAGTTGTGTAAAACTAAAGCAAAATGGCAGAAAAACCTTTAAAGGGCAAGACTAGATGAAGTTGTTATTTTTGAGTAGCTGTTTTACCTATTGGTGTATGAGTTAGAATCATGTTAAGAGGTAGTCCTCTGCCTTGCTTCCCTGCCTTCCTCATCCAGGAAGAGTCATGCCTATTTTTGTGGTTCCATGACTACTAATATCACAATAAGGGATGCAGCAAAATGTGGCTAGAGCGGGGAGCATGGCAGAATACACCTGTGTGTTATAGTTGTTATATATGTGTTATAGGTTACACTTATAACTGATACCTGTGTCAGTTAAATGTGAGTAGAACTCTCACTTTGCATGCACAACCACACAGTGTACACCCAATGTGTAATTTAATTGATCCAGGTTGTAATGATAGCTGCAGAGGAACAAAATTCTTCTTTCAGCTACTTCTTTACATTTCTCTTGCAATTGGAAAAGCAGTCCCATTGTGTCCCAAATGCCCTCTAGCACTTGTTTTAATTACAGCATTACTTTGAAAGCAAACTGCTTGTTTGACAGCATTGGCCAGAACTTTTAACTGGTAGTTGAGTGTACATTTTAGTAAGTAAAAAATAATCCACTGTATTACCAGCAAACCTTTAGCATTCTTGTGTAGAATAAACAACTGTACATGTGTCATACAATGAGCTCGATATTGCTTCTGTCCCTACTACGGTTAGTATAGAGGCGCAACCAAGTCTGTGATTCTTATACTAGCTGTCTGCCAAGTTTCACTTGGTTTGATCTCTCTTTACTGGTTGGCAGGTGATCTGAACCGTGCCTGAATGAAAAAAAAAAACCCGAACCAAAACCCCAACCTATTTTCTTCACATGTGATGCAATGCATCCCCAAAATCAGCCACAAATAGTCAAGTTTAAAAGTTATCATATATAGGTCAATATTGGGTACACTTTTTATAGAGTTTTGTGTTTTGATTGTGTTGATTCCTGTGGCTTTACATATACACTGAAATGTGACTGACTTAACACAATATGAAACTGGTTCTGTAGTTCTTCCGTGGGTATCGCTTTCAAGATGTTAAACTGACAAAAAAAAAAAAAAGTATTGGTTGTGTGTGAAATGATGCTCTTGTGAGACCCCACCTGGAGCACTGCTTCCAGATCTGGGGTCCCCAGCACAAGAAATACATGAACCTGTTGAAGCAGGTCCAGAGGAGGGCCACAAAAGTGATCAGAGGGCTGGGGCACCTCTCTTGTGGAGAAAAGCTAAGACATTTTGTGTTATTCAACCTGGAGAAGGCTCCAGGGGTACCTTACTGTGGCCTTTTAATATACAAAGGGAACTCTAAGAAAGACAGGTATTTTTTCATCA